TAGTGCTTTGCTGTACTGTGAGTAGAGTGGTAACCATATTTATTACACAGATTTATTTTACTCTTAAAAAAGTACCAGGGCAGATATATTTCTTAGCATTTTGTTCCCTTTATGACTGCATGAGAGGAAGACAGGAAATACAGACAGGAAATGCCAGAAGAAAGAAGGGTTTATGGCTGCAACAACAGTCAGATGGTAGTCAAACTGTAGAATGAACCATGTCCTCATTGTTTGCCTTAATTAGTGAGAAAAGATATCCCTTCACCAGTTCAGTGTACCATTTGAGCCTAGAACAAGCAAATATTTGTTATTTTCTCTTGATAAACAAATGAAACAGTTGGTTGAGTGTTACTTAATTGTATGCTGGGTTTTTTTTTTTAACAACAACTTAGTAAATATTCAATCACTGATTATATGCAAGAGCAAAAGTTACAAAGAAAGGTGAAAGAAAGGTCTTTGAATCATCTCACAACTAACACAACCCCATCTTTTTTGATTGCTTTATGGTTAGTTTCATTAGTTTCATTGCAGTGATTTGTCCGATGACCAAACATCATCGGGTTTTCTGCTAAGATGGTGTCCAAGGCTTCGAAGAAACTACTAGGAATCAAGAGGACCTCGCTAACCAAAATATTCAAATGCAGTGAAGCAATATATGCAAATCTAGCCATGACACATTTCACAAACCCACAGCTCATTGTCAAACATTACTTCAAATCACTTTGCTGGCAGTGTACCAGATACTTTCCCCCTCTCACTGCTCTTTCTCTCTGCAACCTCCTTGATCTTGTGTCATGTTGACGGGTGTAATTGTCAGATGGTCCTTTGCTGCACAGCTCTCATATGTTGGAGAGTCTGAGCGCAGTGGGTGGGAGAGGCCAGAGGCCGAGGTGGGTCATGTCCGTTTCGTCCAGTTCTAACATCCCTCAGGGCAAAGCCAGTAGTTTGGCGATAATTGCATGGTGGATGCAGTGTTCATATTCATGATAACCCTGAAGCAGGCCTCTCCTCCTGCTAATAGATGTCTTTTTTCTGCCCGCTCTCACACATCTCTTCATCGTCATTTCACATTCGCCAAGCTGCAGGGGCTTCGCTTGTTCAAAGACTGTAAAGCACAGGAATGATTATTCTGGTTTACGGCAAACTTCTGTGATGTTTTACTGTTATTTTGCTGCATAAAAACAAACAATTCATGAATATGGACATTGTAGATTAAACACAAGATACATCATTTTCAACTACCTTAAGGGACATTTTTAAAGCATTCAAAATCATGAGCAGAAACATAAATATGACAGTTGTTGTTTATTACAGTTTTTCTCGATTGGTTTGGCTCATTTCTTGAAACCGAGATGACATTCTCAAAACCATAAGGTCATTTGGCCAAACAGTCTTACAGTTCTGCCCAACAGTATAGATCACTAGCAAAATCAAATATCCTTCCCCAAACACTTCGTCCATGCTTCAAAAGCAGATTCCTTTCCCATATAAAAGGTCAGTACAGTCAAAATAGCACAGATCCTTCTCAATTGCCTTGGCACATGTGCATTCATTTAGTGCTTTTGTCAAAATAACCTGGATGGTTTAGCACAACACCATGGATCCCCTGCAAAAGCTCACACCTCTCCCAAAAGAGTTTATCCATGTGTCAAAACTAAATATCCTTCTCATATAAATAGTCAATGCCCCCAAAATGCATTATACCTTTGGCATTGTTCAAGCACTGCAAGTCAAAATGCTTAGACGTTCTGTCACTGAGGCACAGGTCTAGCAACAGAATACCACTATGAATAAAACTAAAAGATGTTACAGTAAAATCAGCCTCCAATAAACCACTCATACTCAAGGAAACTGTAAACATACTTATCCGTACAAAGAAATGTTAACATTAGAGAACATACTGTGAAAAGAAAACATATACAGGATTCTGTAAATGTGAACAGTTATAAACACAAACAAAAAACAAAAAAACCCAAAAAGAACTCCAGCCTACCATACTGTAAATAAGGTTTCAGAACTATAGTACAGTAATATTTTCAGTGGTCGCCATTGTCACCCTCTCCTTCCTGGCCACCATCCTCATCCCCCTGGCCATCGACGCGCTGCTCTCTGTCAGGCCATAAATTCTCATCCACATCGCAACGGATATTTTCCCTTGCGATGCAGCGAGGGAAGAAACGGCATGAATGTCTCAACCATCCCCTACATTGATCCCCTGTGATGTCCTCACATGCAGCATCCATTGCATGCAGCAGGGCCCTCTGGTCTTGAGCCTGATGCTCATACACCCTCCACCTCCAAGCTGAAAAAAACCCTCAATTGGATTTAGGAAAGGAGAGTAAGGTGGAAGAAACTCCATCAGCATCCGGGGATGGGTGGTGAACCAGGTTCTGATGCGTGGGCCGCGGTGGAAGTTCACATTATCCCACACAATGACATAATGTGGTAGCTGAGGTCCTTCTTCACCTCTCTCATTTTCTGGGATCAGATCAGTATAAAGGTGGTCCAAAAAATTGAGGAGCTTTTGCGTATTGTAGGGCCCTAAACTGGGAATGTGTGTGGCCACACCTCTTTCTGATATGGCGGCACACATTGTTATATTTGCTCCTCCTGGCCTGGGACATCCACAGTGGCTCGGTGGCCAATGATGTTACGGCCACGCCTTCGACCTTTGGCCAGGTTGAAGCCAGCTTCATCAACGAACACTAGGATGTGAGGGGTTTCGTTGCCTTCTAATGCCATTATTCTCTACAATAGAATAGAAATAAATCTAATCAGTCAAGTAGAGACAGATACTGCAGGGAGGATCTAAGTACTGTAAAAACAGGGAGTGGACAACTGAAGACAATTTCTAGGCAAAATGCTCTAGTCACACAAAGCTGGATTCTGAAGGTAAAAAGGATAACGCAAAACAAAAAAACAGTGGTAACCATGTCTTACTGTAATAGTGTTACAATGATAGACAACCAGTAGTTGACTTACATGCACATACTGGTACCGCAGCCCTTTCACTCCGTCAGAGTTTCTCTCAAATGGTACCCCGTAAATCTGTTTCATGGTCATCTGAGATGTGGGAAACTGCTCCTTCGTTAGTTCTACTTTCACCTGATTGATTGTCAAGTACTGTCATAACTTTATCAAATGTTCCAAGACATACTTTCATGGTATTATATCTTTGACTAATTTTGACAGTTGAACAGACAATTGTGCATATGATGACTTACACACTGAAACCATGCTGATATGTTTTGGAGTGAGTGACCATTTCACTGAAAAATCAACTAATCAGTTTAGATCGCCAAGATCTATTTATTTGGAAAATGTGCTAAATGTGGGCTCATTGTGCTAACTGTAGCTACTTGTACATAATCATTTGAAAAGAAGCACAGAGTCACTTGAGACATGTACTAAAGCATTTGCAATTTGATAAAACCAATGAGAAATGACATTCTGTTGTGAACAATTGCAAGGTGGTTTGGAGATTTGTCCATGTTATTTTGAGAATGTCATCTCGGTTTCAAGAAATGAGCCAAACCAATCGAGAAAAACTGTAAGCTCATTAGTAAAGTTACACATCCTTCACTAAGGTGAATCTGTTAGAAAGGGATGATATTATTGTTCTATAAAACTGGCCTGTAATGTTTTATTCAAACTGCACATAGTAAGCTAATTCTCTGTTGGAAGCTCAAATATCCCAACAGCTAAACAGATAAATACGATGCAGTTGTAGAGAACCATAGTTGAAGTATTATGCATAGTTTTGCAAAAGGTGTCTTAAGGTATCATCAGTGTCCTGTGTTGAAGGAACTTAAACTAGAGGAAATCAAAATAACAGTTGCTGCTGTCTTTTCCGCTTGGATTTAAGTTTTACTCTTCGCACCACTCTGCCTGGAAATCTCTGATCATAACATGATTTTCTTCCAGTTGGCATGTTTTGGTATCAAACCCAATGCCAGAGACACGGTCACATTTGTAAGAAAATGCTGCACCTACAATAACCCCAATATTATTATATCGATTATTACCCCTGCAAAATCTGCAGTGCAAAACTTTGTGTTAAACTTTCCATACTCAGCATGTTTTCAGATTGTCTTTTACCACATTCATTTGATGCATGAGACTGACTGCCTGGTTTGCTTACTGCATTTTTTTTATGATAATCTGCAAGCTACACTGTACTAAATACGATAGATAGACATAGACAACAGACAGACAGACAGACAGACAGACAGACAGACAGACAGACAGACAGACAGACAGACAGATAGATAGATAGATAGATAGATAGATAGATAGATAGATAGATAGATAGATAGATAGATAGATAGATAGATAGATAGATAGATAGATAGATGAGCATTTTATATATCTAAGCTAAAATCATAGTTATCTGAGAGATAAGAAGGGGTCCGACCCATACACCGCTCTTTTAATAAAGAGTCACATGGAAGCAAGCTTGGCCAATCCAAAGCATTTTATAAGCTTATCATATGTGGTTATATGTACTATCTAAAGCATAACTAAAGATGTAATAAATTCACTGTGAATCTGATATTATTAATATCGTGATATTTGGGAAAAAGCTATTCCATTCAGAAAGCTAAATAGCATCTTTAGAAAACCTGTTTTGTCAATAACTATGTTTAAAATGACCTTCATTAGGTTTAAAATGGGTCTGCTTTCACAGGAGAAACTGCTCCCCAAAATACTTCATGCTTGAAAACACAGCTGTTGATTAAAAACCTAATAATTGTCTCTTTGATTAATCAAGCGACAATCATCAGTTAAATGTAGGTGAGCAGAAATATTTCCTTCCAAACAGCAAGATTAGTGTAAACTACTCAAGTAACCTCATAATTGTTAACACGGAGCTCAGCTAAATTAGTAACTTTCCAGCAGTGAATCCACAAATGTCCACAAATGAGTTAAGTGTTTAGAACGCAAATGCAGCTCAACTTAATGGCTAAATGTAGCCCATTTTTTTCTTTCTTTCTTATCAGAAGGGGGCACATGTGAGGTAATTGCTGCTCACAGATGCTGTAATAAGAATCGTATTGAGGAGCGGTCACAGACGGTCAAGTGTTCCTGTCTGCCAGGGAAGGTAGCTGGAACCACTAGAAACAGGCCTTCATGTGTCGACGGTGAGTATTTTTATAACCAAAGAAGAAGAAAAAATATCAGGTTAATCTACAATATCGGCTTTACTAATTCTGTCCTATGATTGCATGGTATTTATTCTGTGTGTGACTGCTTTGCAAGAATAGGATGCTTCCCCCTTGGAATTCTACCAAGCATGTTCTGTTTTACATACAAAATATGTTTTGTAAAGATACAGAGATTTGTGCAAATCTCTCAAAAGGCTGAAGTCACCCGTGCAATGCTTTGTCCCAAATAAGATTAACATTACCTGCGATAATGCCACATACAAATTGTGTTGCTGACAGACAGCAGAAGGTTTCTGCAGGGGTAAGCTTTACTCCGACACAAGACAGTCAAATACATCTGCCAAATGTAGCGCACCTCAGGGAAGAGTGCAGAAATAAAAAATAGAATAAGGCAAAGAGACACAGACAAAATAGGCGTTGATTAAATATGCACCTTGTGGATATTTCATGAAGGTTTTACACATGCTTTGACAAATGTCTCCTACACAAGCTCAATGCTTTGTAAGAAATGAATTTGGTGTCGGGGTCTGACACAACTAAAACACATATTGGCTTTAGGAAACCTCTCACCTGCAGCTTTTATCTTAAACCCTTTTGCAAATATTACTGCAATATCTGAGCAGACTGAGGGATATTTGAGTGCTCTCCATGTCAGCTCTGACACATTCTTTTCCTCTGTCACACATTGCAAACCATTTACTGTCTACTTACCCTGTATTTAAGGCAATTTTCTCTTCTGATGGCAGGGATATGGTGTGCATTAAAGTCAAGTCCCAGTCACACCTACCAATCCCTACACTCAATGAAAAGCCTGAGTTCCAGCCTCTGTATTAATGTATAACTGCATCTAATAAAGAGGCCACATTTTAAAGGATATACAATGTAAAGCAATAGTTTTTCACCAAAACGGTTTTTCCAAAGCATATAGAGCTATCAAATACAGCCACATTACTTACCGATAGCTTTGACGTAACATATAGATAATTAGAATTAGACAACTTCACCTTAAATCTCCTAACCACCAAAGCTGTGCTTTCAGGCTTTTTCAGTTTGGGGCTTTTTACTTGCCTACTATGTTATTTCTCTTGTCTTTGTTGCCTGTAGCATCCATAGTAATTGGGAAGTGGTGGTGTGAGATGGAGCCTTGCCTGGAGGGGGAGGAATGTAAGACGCTCCCTGACAACTCAGGCTGGATGTGTTATGCGGGGAACAAGATCAAAACCACAAGGGTAAGATAACCTCTCTTGACCGCAGGATTCGTGATATTATAGCAGAAATGTGGAAGAAAAGTGTAGCATTCAGTGACTCTGTCTGTGGCATCAGCAAAACATTGAACTTTGCAGGATTCCTTTTCAGTGCAAATTGACTTGTTAACAACTGAGTCTAACCTCTTAATTCCTTCCTTATTTTTCTTGTCAGAACACTCAGCCATACACAACATCAACATATTAGCATTTTGCGGAAGGGATGCAAGCGAAGACCTCAGGTGCAGAGGATAATTTGCAGGTCAGCTTACTGGGAAACTGGATTACTAATTAATTTCTCCCAACTGTTCCAACTTCTGAACTGAGCAAAGAGCAAAACACAGACTTTATGCTCTCTTCTGTGCTATTAACTCTTAGCATATAGCCCTCTAAATGTGTCTTTCTTTCTCATTTCAGCACTGTCGTAGGACCAATTAACGCAAGAGACAATGAACCTATTGTTGCTTGAAGAAATGCAGACACTTCTCAAATCAAAGTGTAAAAAGATGTAGAATACATAAAACACATTCTGCTCAAGGCTCCTGCTCAAAGCTGCCTGCAGGAAACTTCATCATAACCTTGTAATGAATACATTTTCCCCATTTTTTTTCCAACTCTGAGACAGAACGAGACTGTCTGTGCATTTGGATTAATATCTGGAGAGAATCTGACGTCCCTCCGTAGACATCAGTAAGACAGATGTGTACTACGAAGCACCAAACAGGAGAGGAATATATCAAAGGACATGGGATGAGCAAGTGCAGAAGCTGACAGCCCTCAGGATTTTCTTTACTCCTTTTAATATTAGAGGAAAAACATTGTACATAATTTGTTTGTCCTTCATTGTGTACATGAACTATTTATGGTGGTGGTGAACCTTCCCCCCTTCTAACCCACAAAAGAGCCAAAGTCTGATGAGTTCACGAATAATATGTTAGGATGAAACAAATGCATTATGAGGAAGATGTTTTACAAATACTGCTTGTGTGTCTTGATACATTTTGCCATTTGTTTGTGTGGTACGTGTATGCCTTTGATAACCTCTTAAATTGCTTTACCAATTAAATTTGGTGACATGTCAGCTACCCTAAAACCTGTTGATTCACCAAAACATGTGAAACCAGTTAAACCATTTCCAAAACTTGAAATGCCTTATTTGTGTTGGATGATTCAAATGGTAATACTGTACATATGAAGCCATCTATTGATATGTGCTGAAGTTTCATTAAAGTCAGTGTTCCTGTTACCCATGCGAGTGCATCTTTGCCACTCAGTAAAACATGAACACAAAGCCCCCCAAAAATAATATTTTAGATTCAGTGCACCTCACACTTCCTGAGGAAATGATCACTTCTGTACTGCTATGTGCATCGCAAATAAAAATCCACAAGTCGACTGAGAAATCGCAGGGGGGGAAAAATGACACTTAGAACTCGCCTCCCCTTGTTTTCTCTGATATCAAAGCAATGTAGTTACAGCTGTGTGCACATTCTTTGGTCAGCTTTAAAAAGAAACTCCTAATAGCCCATTGAGCTCTAGCTGTAACCCACACACTGACTTATATAAAAGGATGGATGTAACCCACAGGTTGGAAAAGTGAAGCCAATAGGGCATTTGCTCTTATAGCCAGCAGGGGGCAGCTCCTCCAACTGCAAAAGAAAGAAACAAAAAGAAATCGTGCTTGTGTATAAGGCTAGAAGAAATGAGTCTGGGAGAAATTAACTGCATTTCCAATTTAATTTATGGCCTCAGTAACCGCTTAGCTGATGGGTTTATGGCCTCTATCACTAGTTTATGTCTTATTTAATATAGTGGGATGTAATTTCGTAAACTGCACACAAACGTAAAGTAAAGCAGGGTGTCGTTTAGGGAATGGAAAGACGTAAGCACACTTCAGTTTCTTCTCTTCTGAGTAGAAAAAAGTTAATTAGACAATAAGCATAATGCTTATCTCAAGTCTTTAAACTTTAAACTTCTGAGCGATAATCACAACACCTACATCCATCTTTTATATACAGTCTCTGAGCCTACAGTGTAACTAACTCTACAGCAACATTATACTTCTATATTCTCCAAAGTGCAATTCAAACACTAGTCCTGAGGTTCATTTGTTTCAAACTCGCTTGCGCATTTGTGGATTTGAAAATTCAGGTTTTGCTTTCTTTTAATAAGTTTCCAGATTGCTATGTTTTTAGATGTCAAATGATTTTAAGTTTTTTTTGGTTACAACAACAGAAGTTTTTTAATTCTAATAAAATGTATGTTAGATTGTGTTAGCATATGGACAGGCATTGACAAAGACACATCGGGAGTCACGGTGACCTTTCAGGGACACTGACATTCTTTTCAGTGTTTAGTTTTTTGGAGGTGCTGCTTAGCAGAGGGTCTTACTTTTGAATAAAGACAGGTTAGTTTTCATTTCTTTTTAAAGTTAAGCAGCATGTCCTGTGTTGTTATTTGGGATTATCATGATCCCTATTTGCTTGGTAGGTCCTCCTCCCACAGCCCATGAATATTTTAGTTATTTAAGCTTTATGGATATCTAAAAGAATAAGCATATTTTCCAAAATCTAATATTATTTCTTTAATCACAATTGCTTTTTCTGAGAATGTGCTATTCAACCCTTCACAGAAGCCTCTTTCAGCTCAACACACAGGTCATTAATTGGAGTCACTCTTGCTCCCTGTACAGGCAAGACAATCGCGCATGAATAAATGGCAAACAAGCATTGCTCCCCTGTATTTACAACATTTTGATGCAGCACTCAGTGGGACACTGGCCATTGCTTTCACAGCCTCGCTCCCTCAGGAATTACTCCAGGAGGAACTCGCGGCTGCTGTCGCTGTGCAGTGTGTCATCCATCTTCAGGAAAAATTGTTTTTTCCTGGACCTTCCACTTGTTTCATTATTTTCTGCTTTCCACTGATATTCAGCTCTCTTGAAAAGCACAGCTTGTGCGCTCATTAGAATACGCTGGATCACTCATCTATTAGATAAAAATATTAATATATAGATGTTTTATTTGACTTTTAAGCTCAGGAAGGATTTCATCTGAACCTTAAATAAGATCAAACATACAATATCATTTCATGTAGCACTGAACAAAAATCACTCCCATGAGTTACATAAAATCCTTATCCCGTTTGAGGCCTTAGCCCCATATAAATTACTTAAAACAATTCTTTATATTTTGCCCTTTAGACAGGGGAGGTCACAATATCAAAGGTATTTTTATAATATTTCACAGACATCTACTTTCTGTCTAGAAAAGATCAAGTTTGCCCAGGTACAAAACACTGAAAGGTAGCTGAATGCACCACAGTAGTGACCACTGCAATCTATGGAATATTAATTTATTTGGGATTTCTTTTACCCCATGCCTGAAGGTATTTGTAAATATCCTTAAACAAAATACAGCTTCCAATGTTAAGAGTAAAAATTTATTCTTTGACTTTCTAAGTAGTCAAATTTACAAACCAAAACTAAATTTTAAAATGTTTTAAAAGACTTATGCAAGAATGCAGTATAAAATTAGGTTGAATACAAGCTAGCCAGGAAGGGAGACAACAGTTTGACTCTCAATAAAAAACATGGAGAGGTTGTTTGCATAGCAACTACACTCAGCTATAGTGGTTGCTACATGTTGTGATTTTGACTAGAATTTGCACTCATTGCCATACAAAGCAGAGATTTGATTCAGTGAAGACCTTTATACAAAGAATGTGTTTTTAAAAGGGACAGCATTTTACTGTAAATCCAGGGGTGGCTGTATTAAGAGAGACATCTCTTTTTTTCCCCCTGCTGTCCTTGCACATGTTAATTTTTGGCTCAGTCTGCACTGAGACTCATGCAGCATAATCACAGATGCCAAATTACAGCACAATGTCCATCATTTATTGTACTGAAATTACAACATGCAGCAGGGCCAGCAGTGATTGCTATACATGGCCCTATGAATTCATGAACATATTATTTAGGTCTTTCTTTTATTTCCCCCAGGCTGCCAGACTTTTAACTAGCATTTGAAATAATGTTGCATGTCCAAAATGGGATTGCTAAACGGGCATAAAGTGTGGACGATGTCAGCAGCCTCCTTTTTTCTGTCTGTCTGTGGAGTGGCTCTCTGGGCTAAAGCTGTAGGCCCTGATGTCTCACATCATGCAGCAGAACAGTGAGAAATAAGACACAAGTGATGGTGATGTGCCCTGACTTCTTTTTATGACGCACCAGGGACATCCTGGGATTTAGAGCTCCCATGGGTTTGTTCTAAAGACACATTTCATTCAAAACACTCAGAGAGTCTGGTCATGTTCCACTGTCTGCACTGGGAAGTCACTTTTTCTGTTTTCATGAATATCAAGGTGCAACTTTGAACAACTGGGAATGATGATAGGCTTTTAAATTTGTAATAATTCCTATCAAGACAACCCCCACGCACCAATAATTATCTGATTGTGTGAAGATCAGTGCAGGGCTTGCCTGTTAATTAATACTAGAAAAACCAACTGCAGCTCTTGTTGCACTCAGTAAATATACGAGAAACTGCGGGGCATGGAGTGCATACTGTGGAAAAAAGCATTTAACAAAGTGAAAGTTATTAACTCGTTTTTGCAGTGGTTTTCTGTGGCATCGAGCAATCGCCGAGATTACCCAGTCTAATCACATCCTGTAACCGTGGAACTGTCTCCACTTCCCCTGCAGGACTCTAGGATTTCAAAGTCAAGGTAACGCGGACCAAACTGGATTCTAATTAAAGTTGACATCAGGTGCCTCATGCTCCTTCCCCCCTCCTCCTCAGGCTTTCATCTAAATGATTCATGCCGAGAATACCAGGCCTTTCAAGCCGTTAGGTCCTCACAAAGGAATAACAACTTGATCACACAAAGAAAACATAGACAGATTTACAATGACACTGGCACAGTGTCTGTTCCACTAGCTTATATCAAGTTATATCAAACCAATGCAGAGGCACTCGGCTGACATTTTACATTTTTGCAGGGGTGACTTTTTTAAAGTATTCATGCTGGCAAACAAGAGGAAATTAAATCAGAGGCATAAAAATGTTTTTCCAGCAGAATCACGTTGTGTTGTGGTGACACATACGACAGAATGCTCGGTTTCCAGGTGTGCTTATGTGAGTAGGGTGCAACCTGCTACATGACTGTCTGGAAATGAACGTGACAAGTGTTGGCCATATGTTGCACGCTGGAACACCGTCATTATGGCAGAGGATCAGTTCTAGCAATTCCGTGTCACTCTGGGTAGAGCAGCAGCTAAATGGCTAAAAGAAACATAAAATTGAATCCTTCTCTAAAATTGCAGAGGATACAGGTAGGCTAAATAATTGCTCAATAGAGAGATGAATAGTTGGAGCCCCCACCCCCACCCCCACTCACACACCCTTATAAGTGGGAAGAGGATTTATCTTTGTGAGAGAAAACCTGCCTTGAATTAAAGATGAGCTTCCTTTGCCTTTTGTCAGGCTATTGTGAACACCACAGCATATAGTACACAATAACTACAGGTATGCAAAAATAGGTTTAGTATAATGGTTTAGCTTTGTGGGGAAGCTGAACAGACTTACCATGACTTGGAACTGCCTGCAGGCTGAGTAAGGGTGTTGTGTGCTCTTATTATTTATGTTGGATTTGGGCTGGTGGTTTAGTTTCTAATGTCTGAGCCTTGAAAATGAAAACTGTTGTGCCTTTGGGAGATATTGGAAAGACTTCTCATGTTAACAGTGAAATGAGTTAGAATCCCCCATTCACAGTGTTGGTCCTCAAACTGATATATATATATATTTTTTTTTATTCAGGAATAATAGTGCGCTCATATCTGCGTATCTGAAGAGTTCTGTGTTTTGCATGTTTCAAAGCAGACAGTGACATAATGTGACCGTCATCCGTTGAGACAAAGGACGTGAAATGAGCAGCGACCAACTCGTCTCCGATCCTTCTCCCTGACTGCGGTGTCTTGCTGTGGGTTATTTTCCTCCCCAGCACCCTGGCCTCACCCTTATTCTTGACTTTAATGGAGAGTGACAGTAAATCACAATTACCCATACAAAACACTTTAAAAATAGTTTTGAAAATTAGGCTGTCGTGATATGAAAGCTGAACACATGGTCCTTGCTCAAGTGTGTTTTCAGTGGGGACATCATATGTCGACAGTTCAGACAGGGGATAAAGGCGCTCATTACACAGTTACACTTTTGTCCTTGTTTGCCCCTAAAATGACGATAAGATGCAAGTAAAGGGAAAAAACCTTCATTTTCTGACTCAAGCAAATATACAATGACACTATGTTTTGTTCTCTTATTATTCTAATTGTGTCTCTAAAAGAACACTTTAGACATTTTAGAAATGTGACGGCCCGCCGCCTTGGCCAGGGCCTGCTACGTGGCCCTGCCCATCCCTCTCTGTTGCCTTGCAGGTTCCTGGTAGGCTGAGTTAATTAGAGCAACCGGGAGCACCTGCTCAGTCTCCTTGGAGCATTTAAGCAGTTGCTTACTCTCTTCCTTCACTCAGCACCATGTTATTTGTTTTCTTGGCATCAGGCTTGTTACTTTAGGTTTACGCTACACATTGACATTCACTTTACACTGAAACACTGCTGACACACTGACAACGCTGACTAACACATCTTATAAAGTTAATAATGGTTTTTGCTTTGTCTGGTTAATAAATTGGTAAACCATGATTAAAGCACTGTTTCTCACATTTATTTAAAGAGCTGGACTATGACAGAAATACACTTATTTGCTTTCTTAGATATCAACCTTAATAAATGTATTAGTGGAAGTAGTATTTAAGTATTACATTTTTCTATTATTTAAATATCTATTATCTAGTATCTAATAAATACTTAAATAAATACTAGAAAAAGCCACTGTTAGGTAAGAAAGACAACCATTTACAGCAGTGGTCAATTTAGACCACTATTTGTTCTCACCAGTATATTCCGATAGTTGAAAGGTTTTAGACCCACATTAAGTTATTTGGTGTTCCTTAATTGGTCTTAGTGTGAACTCTTGTCCATCCCTCTGTCTTAGACCTGCGATAAACTGTTGGCCTGTCAATGGTGTACCCTGCGAGTCACCCTGGGACAGCCAGGATAAACTTTTATTCCCTGTCACCCTGAACTGGATAAGGAGTTAAGGAGATGGAAAGATTTTTGAGAAACAAAATTTGACTGGCAACTTGTAATTGAGTCTTATTATCACTTGGGTTCAAGCAATGACAAAGTGAAATCCAGTAGAGGATTTTTCCACCTTCCTTCTCAGAAATAAAACCTGTAAATAAGAAAGTTATACCCCCGACACAGTGCATCAGCATCACCAGTGTAATTCTCTATTCTCACTATGGGTGCATAACAGTCTATACTGCAACATGCAGCCAAGAGGCATAAAGGCCTATACATCACACACAGCTGATAACATTAATTGTGTCCAATTAATGTTTGTTCATTAAAGTGTAATTGTTCAGCTGTCTGTTTTAATTAAGCACGAATATAATCTCTTTTGGAGATAGTATGTCTGCATAACGACACAGCAAATAGATGGAAGCTTCGAGCTGTGACCAGACTACATTGAGACCATTGCTTTAAGTCGCCTTTACTGTATAGCTGTCTTTTATTAAAGAAGGCTAATTCAGTTTACACACACACAAACACACACACTCTGCAGTTATACACAGAGAATGAGAAGTGTGTTTACATTTTTTATTATAACTGTCAACTCTAGATGAGGTGAAAGTTGTTAAAGGGGAATAGAACAGTGTTTCCATTATGTTTTTCATGAGCCCCAGGACAGTTTATTTTCTATTAGTGAACATGAACTACTGTCCCCAACAGACAGCCACAAGAGAGGAAATGTTCCCCGTCACATATCATCCGGAAACTCCCATCATATAAGCTGTCAGAAACGTGTTATTTGTGAGTCTGGTTTGAATTGTGAGAATCAAGTTTAAAGAAATGTTCGAGCTTTCTCTTACTCCTTTGGAATAACATCTCAAAAGTGAGGTTACTTTTTCCCCCTCATCTTGTGGATCTTTAATCCTCTCATCTGTTAGAATTTTCTGATTATTTGCCTCAGCTTTTAGAGCATTTATTTCGTGTGTGCAGCTACTCCCATCTTAGAGTGTAGATCCTATAACACCCGCCTTAATTAACTCATTTGGCTGCTTTCATTTTTATTTTGGGGGGGATGTGATTCTTGTTTTGATGGCAGGTGCCGAGAGAGCTTCGACTTAATTTGTGAAAAAGCATAGCGATAAAGTGACTGACTTTACTTTACTTATTCAGATAAGAGGTAATCAAGCAGCGCTGAAATTTCCTAAGACCCTGTGTGAGTGTGTGTATGAATCACAGTTTATCTGAGACACATCTGAAAGTTACCTAATGAATGTCACACCAGCTCCTTTGAAAATATATCAGAGAAAATAAAGCTGTGAGTGCTACTGGTATTTTAGGAATATAGGCAGAAATTTGAGGATGTGTGCTGTCACCGTTGACATAAAACCCCCTGGGGTATAAAGTACTGTTCCCTACTTCAAACTTTTTTTACACGAAGTTAGTTCCTGTTGAAATTTTTAAAAACCAAATCTCTTACTTCACAAAATATGACCAAACAGTACGTGACAAAACATTATGTTACAATGTAAACTCATGACAGTTCAATCCTGTATATTTTCTGAAAAAGTACAGATGCAGCAGATTGTAGGGATTCCCAGCAGATGTGTCTTTTTTTCCATTTTAATTCCTGGTCATTCTAAATATTTATTCACAAACAGTTCAAGAACAGTTTGGGAATTATGGAACTTTAAAAATACAATTTTATTTTAAATTCAAAAAGTACAATGTGGTTCAATGAGCAAGAACATTGAAAAGACTCCCGTGGGACTCAACCAGCTCCTTGGTTTAACTTCCAGTGATCTTTCTGTGAGTAAACTTCATTTTCAGTTCAAGCCTGGGGAGTTAAATCAGTCACTGAGAAGCATCTTTAAAAAGATAGCGTTCAAAATCCATATTTCTGAAGGGTTTGAGAGTAAATAAATATTTTTTGGTTTATTCCCAGAGTTTGCATCACTGAGAGAAGCATCGGCTGTCAAAATTGAACAAAATCAAGAGTGACAAATTATTAAAAACTGTTGTGACTGCAACGATAATTTCTGTTTCTAATGCCTGAGGTAGTAGCTTCTGATTGCATATATTGTCAGTCTGACACTCCAAAACCCCCATGATACTGTGTTTACTACCACAGAATGTTTGGAGTTTTTGAGTTATACGTGCAGCTAAATTAAACAAATAAATATTGCAGATCACTGTAGGACTCTTTTGTATATCTTGAACAAATGCACTAAATCCCAACACGACTGTATAGTATATTCATTCAGTATAGCCATATACAACAGTTGTACAATGGATTGCATTACATTTTAAATGGTTTCTGTTATTGCACGTATAGTTTTTATACAAAAACAGTGCAAATGTTAAAGCACCATCACCCTACTTTGTCCTAACTATGTCAGACAAGTTCACAAGGTCTGCAGTTTTGTAATACTGCTGTCAGAATGGTTAAAAACTAGCCAGTGAACCTACAAAATACTCAAAAGCATATCACATTTAGAGTGATTTAGAAGAAGGGTTTTGTGTCACAAATAAAGAAATCTAAATCTCAAAATCAGAAGAATCTCAAAACGTCCCATCAGGCACATTTAAGTGCAAGCTCATGAAAAAAGAACAATTTGAGAAAGAAAGAAAGGTGGTATTCCCTAAATACCTCGATGAGATCAACATAAACATGGCATATGGAGCTCTGTATGCGACATTCATTGCTTAAGATGTATGCATATAATAATCTACATCTGGAAAGCATTGCAAAGGCCCTATGTTTCTACTCTCACTGCTATCCTCTGAATTATTTTCTGAGCTATAAAAACAATTTCCAGGAAAAAGAAGAAACACAAAGGAGATGAACTTTTGAACTACACATTCCATGAGATACTACTGTCATCTAAAACCAGTAAAAAACATCCAGCGTGATTGAATACTGTATCGCTACATGATCTTAGATTTACATATTGCATCCCGTAAAATGAATTCACAGCACTGCAAGAGTTAAGGAAGAATTAAACCTGAACGCTTACAAAATAGCCAACGTGTAAACACTTGAGTTTCAGACCTTTCAGTGAAGACTCTTGTCGCTACTAAAACAATAATATGTAAAATATAAATCATGCATAAATGTCTTATGCTGAGTTCAGCTGCTTTCAACTTGCAGCGGTTGTTATGCATGCAAGTCTAATGCTGGAAGTTGGAATGATTTGCAGCTGCTGTATTTGTGTTTTTATTTTCTTTTTTTTTTGGTCCCTTCATTTCAAAGGTAAATTGCAAAGTATCTGCCTGAACTCAAGAGATAAAAGAGAGGCAATCGAGGTGGGTCCAGAAGGAATATTATTTATATAAAGAGGACAAGTGATGAAGTGGTAATAAAGGTAAACATTGTGTTGTGTTAGTGGCTACGATTTGCTTCAAGGCAGAGAACTGTCAGTGTTTCCCATCATTACTATAAGCATAGTCCCCTCCACAGGAGCACAAACAGAAACAAAAAAAGCATGATGTAAAGACTCTCAGCAGTGAAGAAGAACCTCTTCTCTTTTCTCTCCCCTTTCTCCCCATGATTAGCATTTCAAACAGTCCTTGTTTTGCATCAGAGCTTCATGCTTGTGTGCATGCCATCACAGCCTTGCAGGTGGTGGCCCGTCCAACCAGTGGAGTCAAAAAGCAGCCTTTGTGTATGCATAGTCATGTGTGTGTGTGTGTGTGTGTGTGTGTGTGTGTGTGTGTGTGTGTGTGTGTGTGTGTGTGTGTGTGTGTGTGTGTGTGTGTTCGTGCCGTGTTTGAGAGAGTGCTTCTTTGTGGAAAGGGAGCGGACCTCTTATGAAACTCAGAGTAAGTTAAGAGACAGGGTTGTCTACAAATGCTATATAATAATAAATTTCTCAGAATTTGTTGGCTTCTGCTTTGAGAGAGTCACAGGCCACTGACTGGATTCACATTCTGCCTCCTGAAAATCCACAAAATCTCTTTTTAAGTGTCTGCCAGCAGACCCATCCAAACTTTGATTGAGTGCATCACAATGTGCCCAGAATATCAAGCGCAAAACACAATGATAGACTTTTGCAAAAGCTGTTCATTTGGATTGGAAAAGGTGCTGCATCATTTTATCCCAGGTCAATTGCTAATAGATTCTCTACGCCATGGCATTAACACAAACCAAAATTGTTCCAAGACAAAGCAAATTAAAATGATGATTTTCTGCAAAGCTGAGCCATATCTAATTAAATCTATATTGTTCTGTGCTCCATCTGACGGGGCATTCACTATCCTCACAGTGTAATGTTATTTAAGTTGACCGAGGCAGACCAGTATGGGCTTGCACTGATTAGCTGGAGCTTCTGTCTTGCTACCGTGTCACCTGAAAATGAAACATAAATGAAAAAAAGAAAATTACATTTAGATTTTTCTCCATCACAATGATTTCAGTACATCTGAAAAGCAAGTTAAATACTGTCGAATTTGTTCTATTTTCAATCTATCCCTCGTTAAACTCCGCTCATTACCCCAATCATAGCTGAGTATCTGTAATGGCTTGTGAGGGATTGAATTTCTCCAAATTCTAAGAAAGCGTGTGGTGCTGCGATAAGAGAAATACTCTCTATCTCAAGAATTTGCAAACAGCTGTCAATGATGATGTAAAATTATGTTAAGTACGCATAATTTCAATTTACTGCTTACTAAGCTATTAAGCATCCATTAGATGTAGAGAAGTGAATGAGTGAACAAGGAAGCAAATTCATTAGCGTACACTACATATTGCTGATAAAAATCTGTTTGAGACAGCTGTTAATTTCCACAGCAAAATCCACAGTGCTAAACCAGAAGTGAGCAGTGTGTTTTTATTTACTGTCTAAAGTAAAGCAGCCAGTAAAGTGTTTTAAACTATATGCCCGATCTGTGAGCAAAAGGCTCAAAAAGCTCAGTGACAGTAACAAATGCAGGGGTTAGCAAAAAGGACAAAAGTATGTGCTTTTGTTCTATTCTGTTGGGAGTATAATCTGATGATCACATGACTTCTGTAGACAATGATCACTTTCTATATGCTGCATGTATTCACTTTCCCTGTCTCACTATAAAATATTCTCTACTATGAATCATTTATAGAATACAGCTGATCAAAAAGGCAACTTCTGAGAATGTGCATTTTAATTATTTATTTATTTGAATACAGTGGGGTTTCCTTTGGTCGTCAGATTTAATTACATGGGTTTTACTGCTTTGGTATTAGTTCACAGCTTATTTCATGTTTGTCCTGTTGGCCCCATCATTCACCAGATTATAGAATTAGGGTTTCTGAGCCCACTGTGCCTGGTGCAAGCAAAGGGGTTGATATGGGCACTGGGAGCAGTGATTATGCTTGATTGTGGAATCTTTGAGCATCAAAGGAGTGCTTACTAAAATAAAGCTTTATGATGAGCGTTCACAAGTTTGTCAGACCCTGTTTGCATGAAAGTGAACAGTGAAAATGGAGAAGATTTTTTTGTGCGACTGTATTTAAGCATCTATAAATACCATGTATGAAATTAAAGTCACTATGTGTTATTTCTTTTGTAGGGCTGCTTCCACTGTGACTCTGGGTGCACCCACACTAATCTATTTTCATTTTAAAATATGTAATTTTTACAACCGCTAGGGCTCATGTCCAAACTGGTTCATTCTCTACAGAGCAGTAAATGTAGAATTTGGGAAATAATACAGAATCAGTCCGGCTGCCTTCTTTTCAAACGCTGAAGACTAGCATGGCTGGATGACTGAGAACATAGATAGACATTACAGACTCAGTTTTAGTTTGTAAATTCCAGAACTATGAATAGTCCTAAACTGGCAGGAACAATATTATAGATGTACACTTACTGAGTGGGTTTTTACATCACAAAATTAAGTCAAAATATTACAGTTAGTCCAAAATAATAGGATTTCATCCTTCATATGTTGGCTCTCCCGCAACACTAAATTGGATAAGCAGAAGAAGATGGATGGATGGATGGATGGATGGATGGATGGATGGATGGATGGATCTTTCCTGGCTTGGTATGGCTTCCACTAAAGATGGACTAATTTTGATATTACCATATTAGGTTTGCAACAACTTTCTGTAACATTTTCATTATTGTTGGACTGATTTCATTATCAGTCAAAGCAACTTTTTGCCATTGCTTTTTCCTCTGAATCCTCTGCTTCCTGTTTACACCAGCAAAATACATATCCAGTATGTATATAACTAATCAGTGTGATACAAGTATGCATGCATTAAGTGAAATTGATTTTGTACTCAAATATTGATTTGGGTGAATAATGTTTAAAACATTGTTTTAAGATGAAAAAGTTATTGTGTCGATGTAACCTCAGACTATTGCAGGCCCTCTGCTCACCTTTGTGGTCTTCACTTTATTTCCAGAGATGCATGACCAGCCAGTGAGGTCAGGGAGGACTCTGCACTCCTCCCCCTGCAGACACGGCTCCATTTTACACCACCATTTCTGTCGCACAATAGAGGCTGGAGGGGGAGACGAACACAGCAAAAGGTCACTTTATAGACAAAAGGACTTCAAAAAAGGCCTTGTTTGGAAAAAGCATCTCGGTCAAATGTCACACTCTTATGATTCTTAAATGCCTCAGTATTAGTGGACTCCAGTGAAACTAACTCTACTCTGACCTGTAATACATGCATGTCATGAGGAAATATTTCAGTTTAAGAGAGCTGAAAGAGGGTCCTAGTAATATTACCTTCAACACAAGAGGGCAGAGCCCTTGTTGTCCCTGCTACCTGTCCTGGGAAGCAGGAGCACTTGACAGTTTGAGAGCGTTCTTCAATTTTGTTCTTGTTGCAGCAGCGATGAGCAGCAACCACTTCACAAGTCCCTGTCCTCTCCTGTGATGACCCTGAGAAAGAAATTTTGAAGGGAATGATACCAATCTTCTACGCTGAGTTTTGCGTGCAGGTTGCAGCAGCCTGGCTGATTTTAATCTTTTAAAAATGACAGAATTATAGGCAATCACTTCTAGGCTTAATGACATCTGAGATCTAATCTTTTGTTACAGTTAGAAAACAGTTTAGTTCTTATTGATTAAACCTAATTTTGCTGTTTTTAAAGCTACAGCACCACCAAGTGGAGGAAATGCACCAGCACTCGTGCGCCAGGCAGGGGGATGGGGTTTCAAATGCTGCAAACATATTAGCAGCAATTATCATTATGTTCAGTAAGCTAATTTCATGTTTCACATTATCAGAAATTAGCATAATAAAGAACACGAGCAGACATTTCAAAGCAGCATCTGCATCTCTGCACAGAAATCTGCATAAAGGAATGCTGCTTTTAGGGATTATCACTGATGAGTCATTCTGCTGCACTTAAAACTGAACTTCCAGTTTAAGGGGTGCTAGAGAGCAGGAGAAACAAGCCTACAAAAAAGGCATGAATATTGCTAATTTTGAACTAAGGTGTCAGGCTGGCTCCATGGTCAACAATACCTGCAGGATTTGGAAATTCATAATTAAACGGTGTTTTAAATCAGACTACAATTAAAGCACTCATGCCAAATGCAAAATTATTCAAAACATAGAGATGGGTTTAGGGCTTAACATTGCAGTTGTTTGTGAGTGTATTTTCTTAAGTAGAAATTCATATACTTCACTGAAATGTATCCATTTTCTTCTGTACTGGAATTCTACTCCATAGCATTTCAGTCACAAATATGCCCTTTTTATTCAGCTGCATTTGTCTGACAGCTAGAGGTCAATAGTTACTTCTTTGTTACATCATATTGAATAACACTGTATAAGCTTAAAAATTAGATTCAAGTAGTGCTTCCCAATCATTTCTTCATTTGAGCCCTCACAAAAACAGTTTCTATGTGGCAGTTCAACTGTATAATTGTCTGCTTGTACCTGGTCAGATCCATGATCTGCTATCATAAAAAAAGACTAATTGTAATCTTTGTTTACATGACTATTAATGTTATAGCATAATCTTAAAATTAAATTAAATCTAATATGTTTCACAAACCACACATTTGACCACTTAGAGGGGGTCTGACCTCTAGGTTGGAAATTGGTCAAACTACAGTAGGCTGATATGGTTTAGCGAATTCATAACCTCAGGAGGAAATGTTCTACAGAATCACTACTTTAAAACTCTGAAGACATACTATGAAGCTCTGTATGACATGAAAACATATTTACATCTAAAAAAAATAAAATAAAATAGCAAAAATGTTTCTCTGGATCTCGTTGCAAAAGCTTAGCCTAGTCCCAGTCTCTACACTCACAGACTCACAGGCTTTGATGCACCTTCCTGCTCAGACCGTGAGAGGTTTAGGACTGTCCCAATTTGAAATCATCAAGTGCATGGGAACTCTCTCCTATCAGACATTTGGATCCCTTTATGCAAACTTTCCACAAGTCTGCATTTCCGCAGATTTTGAACTACCAATAGTCCAACGTGTTGGGATGTTATACCCTAACATTACAAACAACAACAACAACAAAAAGACTTTAAATAGGCATTAAAAACATATACCATATAAGACTTACTTTATTTGTTTGTAATACTTTAACTTCAATTTTTTTCCCAATTATGCTTGTGTTAAGAGCAGAGCAAGAACTGCCTTTTCTTCTTTCTAAACGGTAAAGACTGGAAGATGTTCAAATCAGGCAGTTACTCTCTATGGCTGTTTTTGTGATGAAGAAAATAAGAATGTGAAATAACAAGTCCCACTCACAACAGTATGAAATATTATTGTATTTGAGCATGTGCAGCCTCCAATTCCTTACCAGGTGACAACAATTAAGTCTGTGAGGGTTTAGCACTTATGCCTTAGGGTGGCACTGGGCCTTTAACTGTCTACCAGACCAACACAATAGTGACCAAAAAGCCATAATGAGTTCCTCTGGGGGTGCCAATGGTCTGGTTGGGTCTTACCTGTCTTTCCTCGGGAGCTTTGGTTGCCACTGGACACAAGCTGGATGCAGAGGCTCATTATACACAGAAGGAGGAGACCCCAGTGTAATGCTTGTGTCCTTATGTTCATCTTCATCTTCAAGTGTCTGCACACAAAAAAAATATTCATGCAAACTTTAAGAGACAATTTTCATTAAACAAATTAAAAATACCATATTAAACTCTTTTGATATATTCTCACTCTGACAAGTGGTCCTCCAGATCATAGAATCTATTTGCTCGATTATGACTCTGACATCACCAAGCTAAGCCAAGGCAAATCAAAGAAATGCCAACAAAAGCCTGATGAGAGGCAGATGAGAGTAGGTCCTTGCACTCATTTCTGAGATTATCCTTTCAGCTGTGAACGGCTCTGTGTGCAAAGCTAAACACTTCCTCCAAAACAAGCTGTATTCCACATGAGGCACAGAAAAAAAATGGGACATGGACTTTTATGTCAAATTACAGCAATAAATTATACAGAGCAATGTGGCATCAAGCAATGCATCATTGCACTAGATGGCTTGAGGCATTTTCATTCATCACTAAACCCCCTCATATAAAGTTTAAGGCTCCAATTATAGCTATTATAGCATGATTTTCATCATTGATTTAACTGTGGATTACTTTCTTAATTCATTTGTCAAGTAGACAGTTTAAGATGTTCTACAGAAAATGTGTGGGAAAAGTAAACACTACAATACAGGCAATCAGTTTTAGTTTAGTGAGGGAAATTTCCCTTTTTTCCATTTAAGTCGTGTCTTTTAATGCATCATTTCTGAAAACAAACAAACAAACGAATATCTAAATATTCATACACTCAACTTTTTTTTTCTTCCTTTTAGTATTTGAACCAACACTGCTAGTGATGCGATCTCACATAAACGATCTACATCAGTTTTGCTTCTGGAATTTGAATTTTTCTTGATGGATAAATTCTTAATTCACCTACTTACTTGTGCTCAGGTTACTGATGTGTATAATGAACCGCTGCTGAAGTCATCATCAGTGTCGGTGTTAAAAGCAAGCGCATCACATCGGTTCAGCGAGGTTGGTAAAGTTCGCTGCAAATGTTACTCTCCACTTTCTGAAGAGGCACGAATCAGAGCGAGAAAAGGGAAGAAGAAGGGGGGGAGCCTGCAGCTGATATAGATTACAGTCAACACACCGGCTAAGTGAAAAGCTGCACCTTCACACATCATCTGCTCTCCCCGGAGTTACACTGTACCTTTCAGCCAGGATGCGATGTGAGAGATGTGTTGCTCTGTGAACACAGCGGGACAAGCCTGTCAGCTATTCCCGTCAGGAAAATTAAATCTTAATCAAGACACAAGCCATCTGTCTCCCGAGCAATATGTGGCCACTTTCATTAGCGCCATAAGAAGCTTAAAGTGAGTATCGACATCCTGTCACACAGTGAACGGAGAGGATAAACTGCATCTGAGGAGGGCAGAGTCCGGTTTTTGTTTTATTCGTTTCCACCTTTTTTTGTCTTTTAACCAGAAAAAAAACTGTCAAATATATTATCAGGATATTATCTTCTTAGGTTTGAAGAATATTCTTAATTAATAGGTTGCAAAGGGTAAAACATCCCACAATATATATTTATACAGTCTTTCCACGATGTTACAATGTAAACCGAGATTTAAAAAAAAAAAAAACGGGATAGTGATTAAGATAAGAATAACGATTAAGTGGAGCAGCTATCAGTTTGTGTTTATATCAACACCATAATGAGTTTTACGGTATATGACTGTTCCTTTTTTTTCGCGCAATCATTGATTTGCAAATGTTAGCCTATTGCCAGGCTATTACTGCTAATAGTAGCCAATAGTAAAGAAGAGCGTGAACTCCCTTCAGTGATGAGTGTTGATGTCTTAGTTTGTCTACTACATGGGAATTTGGAAAGATATAAAGACAACAACCACTTCCATAGTTAGGGAGAGTTAAAACGTAAATAAACATACTAAACAAATTTTTGCATTTCATATGAACTTTTCAGTTGTTATAGAATTAATCATAAAACACATGACAATCCAAGTGCCTCTAAATTAAAAAGCTTAATGCACCATGTCTATATACTGTGATAGTTGTCATCTAAGCCAGTTGTTAGAAATCCATCAAATTAAAACCCAGAAGCTGCCAAAGAAAATGCCATTTACTTCTAAATCAAATAAATGAGATGAAACTGTAGTCTCACATGATAATAAAACTTTATTAGAGTATAGTGCACATCATTATTTTTATTTAATTTGATGGGGAAGTAGCTACAGGGTAGGTCAACACAGGACAAACTGACAAAGTAGTAAACAACATTACTAATAGAAAAACAATGTTATTTAATGGCCATATTCATATAGCATCAACACTATCTGACAAGTGAGAACTTACTGATCATATTTACATTATTATATCAAATGTGCTACTGAAAAGTCCCAGTAACTTTGTTATGAGACCAGTTTGCATCCAGTTGCATCAGTGCTGCTTGTAGTAATGGAGGTTCAAGCTGTAAAATTGAGCTTGAAGAGGACCGTCTGGGGTGTGGTGATATCAGCTACAGCCAGTTCCTGTCCATCTGACAAGCCCAGCTCTACATCAGAAAAAAAAAAAAAGACTTGTTACACAAGCATGATTCACATGTTATAGATGCAACTTTTAATGGTCTCTAAGAATCTGAGCTTATCAGCTTCTTATTACCTTTTAAAGTTTTGCAGAGGTTTGGCCTGGTTCGTTCTTCAATGGATTTAACAGACTAGAATAAAAATACAATCCTAGGTTACCTGTGGTGTATAATACAAGTCATGAATTTTTTTTTTCCCTTCCAGAATTGGTTTAATACATTACCTGCAAATACAGCGTCTTATTCTTTCCTTCCAGAGTTGTGGTGATAGCAGGGGATTTCATTTGTCTGGGAAAGAAATGAAATAAATCTTAATGCGATCATTATTTGTGTCAAAAATCCGAGAGCAGAATGTTCTTCCTGAGTACTCACAAAGAGGCGTTCTCTGTCAGGTACTCTAAAACCTCCTGTAATTTGGCAGAAGGAGGGAACTGGAGATCTTGAGGCACCTGGCTGCAAGCTGAGCAATTTTCCTGTCAATCAATGAAAATTTAGATTACACTGAATATTCTCGGTGAGCATACATTACACAGCTGGCAAAAAGCCAGTTACAGCTAAAACAAACCTTTCGCTCTGCTTCGAATGTGTAGGTGTACAGTCCATCCACGTCATTGAAGACCATGTAATTATTCAAAGGGATATAGGCGCTGGTAAAAAAAAACAACAAAAAACAATAAGAGATGTTTATGTTGAGAAAAATAGAAAGAAATATATCAACAGCTAACTACAATAAATGGCTCAAAATGTCTTTTTACAACCAACCTCGTAGCAATCTTAAAAACTTCTGTTGCACAGGCAGCTACGAAGAACAGAAACAGAAAACAAAAGAAGTGAATGAATGAAACGTGAACGAGTTAAGCTGCAAAGTTAGCATCTAAGGTTAACAAGCTACCCAAGTACAGTAGTAAATGATCACAGTATTAAAAACTGCAGAGCAATTAGCTGTCTGTTAGCTGCAAATCTAAATATGTTTCAAAAACCAAAACACGTTGTTTAAAAAATGTCCACCATTTTTCAAGTGCTACATCTCCCAATACCATCATTTTAACAACTGCATGTTTAATTAAGGAATGTTTGCTGCTTTTACATCACCAGACATTACAACACTTTCACTGCTACCAGCTTAAAAAGTTAGACTTTCATACCAGCAATAACAGCATTAGTCGAAGCCACAGCAGGAATGATCCTTTTCACGACACCTATGACATAAGAAACAGATACAACTTTAATAACAATTCAAATGTAGCACAATAGAGCTGAACAAATGATTCCCAGGCTCACCTTGAGTCAGTCTGTATGTCACTCCTGTAATGTTAAACTCTGCTGCTCTTTCTTTGGATCTATCAAACACCCACTGGATGTGCTCTGGATTGTCTCCATCTAAGCTTGTTTCTATTAGACAACCCATGTTCTTAGTATTCATTTTAACAAAGGCAGGTTATATGACGTGTTACTGGTTACCAAGTCAATATATTAGCGTACCTCCAAATGGCTTTTCTTTGGGCCATTGTAAGATTCTGGCATATTCGATGCAGTGTTCTGGCAGCCTTGGCATTGAAGCAATGGTGCACATGGGGAAATTAATCTGTGGATCACAAATGTTTATTTAATGCTATGCAAAAACGAGTCATTGAAAGGATCATTATAAGCTGTTACTATGGGCCTGGTACTATGAAGCGAATTCAGAATAGCCAGGACATATTTAGTAGTCCACTAAAGAAGAATGATTTTACAAAGATAAAAATATACCATTAGAAAGACATGAAGAGGTAAAACACATAAAACACACCGGTAAGTAAGTAAGACTTATAACAAAAATAAACTTCAAGTATCAGTAAAAGCATACGAGGATTAAAATGCGCTATGCAACACTAAGACAGCTACATTGTCAAAAACTGTTAGCTACCAGCTGTTTAACCGTTAAACCATCAGTTTAACCATTAAATCTCTATTTACCTTACTTAAGTGCTGTTTTTTATATCCTCTGAATGTAAGTGACAGTTTTCTCCAAATTAAAATAGTTCTTTTCAGCCTCAACAAACAAACAGCTGTTGCTGCAGATTGGAATATTAGGGACCACCTGTTCCCCACAACTGCTTTTTCACACCCAGACACACTCAACACAGCACCAGATGTAACTTTGTAAAAAGTTAATAGGCTGGCAGAAAATTCTGTCACAGAGCACACTAAAAACAGAAAAATATATACAAATCTTTAAGGTGAAACCAGAAAATCAATATCTGTAGGAAAGGGAGCAGTACCTGTGGCGGATACAGCTCCAGAGTGCAGTCAATACATGCAGTCATTCCCGGCAGAATGACACGAGCATTTCCTTTAAAGCCCTCTGTCCCTCCATCAATGAGCGGGATGATGGAGCTAGGATCCAGGACTCCGTCTTCATAGCTCAGGAGGGAGATCTATAAAAGGTCAAATCAATCATAAATTGCACACATAAATCTGTTTTATCAGCAGAAGAGAAAGCATACACGGTGCAGCATTGACAAAGTATGACACTATCTCATAATGTACTTAAAAATTTGAATAACACACTATTTTAATTCTTAAATAACTATTATTCCTCTCTTTCTTTTGGCTGCTCCCTTTAAGGGAGTAAAGAAAAACCTGAAGGAAAAAAAACAAAAACAAAAAACAAACTGCAACTAATTTATATTTTGTACCAGCATCCCATTCATCCAGCGTCTGGCAATGATGGAGTCCAGTCCACAAACGATGATGTGGAACTCTGAAAATAAAATAAACTATCAGGCGTCTATTTAGTAAGACCTGCTAAAGTTTACACGTTATAAGAAAAGCACACTTACGCCTGTAGAAAGACTCGTCACAGTCTTGGATCTTTTTAAAGTGACTGCAGATCTTTTATAAGGTGATAACATGATAGCAGCACACAGTAAATGTCATATATTGTAAACAGAGTCCGTGTTGTTTTTAAAGAAAATTGTCAATAAAAGGATACGGAACAACTTTACAACCCGGGACACGGCTGTTAATAAAGTCAGCAGCCACTTCCGCCTTTGGTCGTCCAACATCGTTGGGTCTAAATAGAGACACGTCAGTTTTGATTATATATGAAACACTGTGCATAATCAGTACTTGTGTGGTATTAAACCATGGTGAAATTTAAAAAAGCTAAAAACCTACCTGAAAAGAAACTGCCTGTTGAGGTTGGACGGATCAATAGTATCCATATCAACCACGTGAATGAGGCGAAACCCAGACAAGGCCTCAAGCAAAGAAAGACTATGTAAGAACTTATTTAAACCACTAAAAAGACTTTGCATTTGTTCAATTTACACTTGATGATGAACCTTAACAAAACGTGCATTCAAGCTTGCTATTTCCTACCAGATTTTTCAGCAGCTCACAACCAAGTCCTCCTGCTCCGATCACCAGAATCTTGCATGTTTCCAACAAAAAATGCAGGGACTGGTATGAAAAAAATATTATATATTTAAAGAATGGTATTTAAGATTTTTAAAAACCCTCTAACCTCACAGTGCAGCTATAGCCTTATCTTGTTTGGCTTATTCAGTCAAATACAAGACGCATGCACATAAAAAAACATTTCCATGTAACCTCAGTGCTTGGCTCAAAGTCAGGATGCGTAAACGGGCCAGGTCGCTCCAAAAACTTCTTCACATGATTCCAACGACCATCCCAATCGCAGCCACCATCTCTGTGTCCACTATCTACAGCCATTCTGGGCAAACAACACAACAAGATGCACTGGACTTGTATTACAACACAATTTATGCTTACACTTCTTCTAACTTATCTCAAGACTAAAAAGAGCAGCCAAAATGAATAGGACTCTCATATTAAGAAACCTGATAGAGATAAAAGTCATAAAGCAGGTCTCAATCTACTAAAGCATTAAGATTACAGCACTTATATTTCCTGTATAGGCTTGTTGTTGAACACATAATAAGTGGTCTCTATCAGTGTCTCAAGATTGCATATCCATGTTGCATTTAACTACAAGGACAGTGATTACCCAGGTGAGGGGTGATAGATATATATAGAAAAATATAGGGGTTGCAAGCAAAATGCATGCGATATGAAGCAGACACAAGGCTGTAACAGACCGAATAGGTCTTGCAAGAAAGCTGATTTGAGCAATGCAACTTCGACCCTTGCAATAAACTCTAGACTTTAACTGGATTCACGTTTCACATGGATGATTTATAGAAACATATAATGGTGGGTTAGTAAGTCCTGCGTGCATGGTAAAATGTTTGATTTGATCATATCTGCTGGCCCAGCAGTCGCTGCTCACTTAGCAACGCAAACCTGCTGCCAGAGACCTTTATTTAGATTCGTCACTAACTTCTCAGTTAGGTCCTCTATTCGCCTTCTTTTCTTCTCCCTGAAAGAAAAAAATAAAACTGTCTTTAGGCATGTTGGGTTGCTGACAAAGGGGCGGCATTTAACTACGTTAAAATAATAATTTCCATCAAT